ACTACAGATTCCTGGGACTCCAGCTATTCCTACCGAGTCAGAATCCCCAGAGGCAGGGCTGGGTGTCCACATTGTAGATTGATTCTGATTTGATTCTTAAATCCCACTGGTGTTTAAGAACCATCTTTCTCCCAGGTACATATTGGCCTTTCCCGATTCTCATTTCCTTGTGCTAATTCTCTGCCAAGGCTAATCTTCCGAGAGATGTTTGGGCAATAATATGGATAAGGTTTTAATGTGTTCACTTCCAAGATCCTCTCTCCATAATTGCATTCAATATCTTTACCCACAGTAGTAACCAACGGCAGGGACTGTCTGCATACTTGCAGGCTCATGGGAGAGAGAATTTGTGACAACCTCTCTCACTCGAGGCAATTCTTCCTCTTTAATGTCCCTCCCCGTGTAGAAGCTTGACTGAGAGGAAGGATGCTTCTCTCTGTAAGGAATACTATTTCTTCTTTCCAAAAACGTCTTCTCATTTAAGTCATATATTTGGAAATAAAAACTATGTTCTTGTACACCATGTTTATGTTTTATTTTACCCCCTACCTGGTTGACTAGACAAAACCAGGAGAACCCTACTTAGAGTGGCAGAAATTAAATTTGGCCCTGATCCTTAATATTTGCTGGGTTATATCAAATATTGATACAGGTATTTATAAGAATAAAGTTATTCTGAGAATTCCAATAGTCTTGTTTGTGTAGAATTCCACTAAATAGCAGGTGTTTTTAAAGCAAGGCTCCAATATAAATACAGTTGATTCTCATTAGTCATGCTAGTTATGTTCCGTAAAGTCACCACGAACATTGAATCAATGAATACTGAACCATTGTTCCTGGGGGAAGTACAGGGTGAGGTTCCTGCAAGCCTTTAGTCACAATATTTTTGTTAACTGATCAATGCATAACTTTGTTCATGTGTTTTTCTATTTAAAGACAACTTATTTAATAATAATGTCATGGCCATCCACAGTGTAATTCATGCCTGATTGAAACTTATCTAACACATGTATTTTCTCTGGAAGACACATCACAGCTTTCTTGCACATAGGAACAGCACTTCAGTACTATGCTCGGGGGCTGTCTAAACACTGAAATCTCCAACAAAAAGCATAAAATTTAAAAACATGGCACTAAATAGACCACAAAAGGAAATTTCTTTACAGTATGAGAAGTGAAACAAGAAGGCATAGTGTCACCTTGTTCGACTTCATTTGGGAACATGCACTTCAGACAGCTCAAATTTCCCACCACTCTGCATGCACAGGTCTGCGAATGACCGTGCAAGTGCCGCAAGTACTGATTTTAGGATTGCAGATAAATTTTAGCAAGTAGGCAAATTTGGAAATATGGAATCCGTGAATAATAAGGATTGACTGTATTTCAAAAATAAAATACCACTAATAATAATCTAGCTACCATTTATTGAGGGCTTATGTAGTGCCAAGCACATTCATTAACTCACTTAATTCTTAAAACAACTCAAATTTAGAGCTGAAGAAATTGGGGCTTAGCAAGATGATTAATTTTCTCAAGATCACCTACCTCTACATATCAAAGCAGGATGCAAGAATTCAAGATTCATTTAAAGACAACATAAATATTCTTTCAAGACATGCAAAGGGTTTGTTTGACTTTTTCTTTTCCACATTTAGAACCTAATTCAAACATTATTAGTTTGAAGTTAATAGAAGGAATTTTCCTGACATTACTTTATATCAACGAGAAAACCAAAGCGCAGAAACATTAAATGACTACCCAGGCTCGCAAATTCAATTTGTAAGAAGAGGAGTTCCAACATCCGATGGCATAGCCCAGGCATAATGACAATCCTGCTCTGTGGAAACAAACAGAATAGTACTTCCACTGAAATAAGTGGCATGTCATTTACATTTGAATTTGCCAAACTATTCCTAACATCTTATTAAATTAGACTGGTAATGCTTTTTTGAGGATATTTGAAGGATCGTGGTAATCATAGCCGAACAGAAGCTTCAAGATTTAGCACTTTCACCATATCAAAATACTAGATGATGTATTATGCAGTATTGTTAGTGAAATAGTTCATTAAATGTTTCAGAACTAATTCCTCTCTCCATGTCATTCCCATAGCACTTTGCACCAATCTCAATTTTTCCGTATACTACCTGGTATCATAATTATATGCTCACATGTCTTACTGTGCCATCATGATATGAGTATCTCAATGGCTAGGAGACTATTTCACTCACTTTCGCATTGTCTAGTACAGTGCCTGACTCATAGTAGGTGCTCAGTGAAAGCTGTTGAATGAATTTGTGAATGGATGGATGGATGGATGAATGAATACATTAATGATTGACTAAATGAGGTTTGCCTATCATGATATTTGAGGTCTTTAAGAGTGAGACTGGGTCAAATGTTTCTTATTTCCACTTTGTTCGATCACATATTTAACAGATTTCTTGAGCACTGCATTGTGCCAGCCACTGCATTAGTCATAGGAGATAACGAAGTGCAAAAGATAAAAAGGTCCCTGTCTTATGAACCTTAATATTTTTAGTGGAGGAGGGGACACTAACTAAATAAACACATAAATAACTTCAAATAGTACTTAGTGTAATGGAGAAAAATACCCAACAGGGTCATGAAGGCAGAGATACTGGGCTGCAGGTAAGGGGCCTCCCTGAGTGGGTGACATTTGAGCCAAGACCCGAATAATGATGGAGAATTGGTAATGCAAAAATCAGAGGACTCACTGCTTCAGCCCAGAAGTGACACATCTTAGTTATGCTCACATTTCATTGGCTAACACTCATGATATGGCCCCAAATGACTACAAGTGGGCTAGAGATTAGAGTCTTCTGTATGTCCAAGAAAGAGAGGAAGACAGATTATGGTGAACCAGCAATATCTACTCAGTGGCTTGAAGAAAAGGGAATGGTTAAATGATAACTTCGCTGTTTGAAAATGCAATCAGTATTTAGTATTTAATGTGGCTTTAAAAATGAGAGGGACAATTCTTACAGGCAGAGGGAGAGTCAAGCTGTTGGCACATTAAAGGAACAAGGAAAAAGCCAATGCCTGCTGGGACATGGTGAATGCAAAGCAGTGTGACAGGACATGAGGATCTAAAGGCTGTAGCATGATGTGGGCCAAGACAAGGGGTCTGGATTTTACTCTAAGTGCAGTGGGATGCCTGTATGAGGTTTTAAGAAGAGGAGTCAGGAGCCAGCCCTGATAGCCTAGTGGTTAAAGTTGGGCATGCTCTGCTTCAGTGGCCCAGGCCCTGTTCCCAGGTGTGGAACCATACCATCCATCCCTCAGTAGCCATGCAGTGGTGGTGGCTCACATAGAAGAACTAGAGGGGCTTACAACTGTAAGACACAGTTATTTACTGCGGCTTTTGGGGAGGGGGGAAAAAAAAGGAGAGGAAGATTGGCAACAGCTCAGGCAAATCTTTCCCAGCAAAAAAAAAAAAAAAATCGATTAATTAATTAAATTAAAAAAAAAGGGGAGTCAGGTAATCTGATTCAAATTTTTAGAATATCATTTTGGCCATTGTGTGTAGAGTAGATTACAGGAGGCAAGAGTAAAGGTAGGAAGACAGTCAGGGAGCTCCACAAGAGTCCAGGTGAGAGAGGATGGTAACCAGGCCTGGGGGAGGGGGACAAGAAGATGAAAGGTGGATCTTTAATGTGGAATAGACAGGACTTTGTAGCAGATTGCATGTGAGGGGCCAGAAAATAGAAAAATCTTTCACCCGTAAACAGTGCTGGACACTTGTTTTTCTTCCCATCCTTATTTTCATCCATAAACTTGAGGATGCCAGAATATATGCTATACTATATTCTTCACTGCAAAAGTTTCATGAACTGTGCAAAATAAGGTAGATGAGACGTAGTGAAGGTAATAGCAACCGATTTTAAGTTTGAAAGTGAAATAGACTTTACTAGTCCTGGGCAAGCCAATTGTTATCTTTAAAAAATAGAGACTATTCTTGAGTTTGGATTTTAAAATATGCCTTATGAATCAGGGTGCACAACTGCAGAATGTGAATTCTTATTGAAAGTTTTCTAAAAGTTAGTTTATGACCGCCTGATGTGATCCAAGTATTAGAGTAGCAATTGAATTTTCTACCTCTGCATTCATTGTCAATGCCAATTACATGCTACAGATGCAATTTCCTAACTCACTACAATCATTGGTGGCTTCGTAATTACATTGCAAGGGCGACATTCCTAGCCTTATTTTTAGAAATGCTAACTGCAGTCTTCTATCCTTTTACATTCTATATGGAAACACAGAAGTTATTTTTACATAGTGTATTTTTTCTAATGTTCACAGCTTTTAATGAATGGAGATGCAGACAAAAATAAAATTTAAGGGGCCGGCCCCATGGCGGCCCAGGGTTTCGCCAGTTCGAGTCCTGAGTGTGGACATGGCACCACTCATCAGGTCATGTTGAGGCGGCATCCCACATGCCACAACTAGAAGGACCCACAACTAAAAATACACAACTATGTACTGGGGAGCTTTGGGGAGAAAAAGGAAAAATAAAAATAAATAAATAAAATTTAAGCATTGGTTCTTCAGATATACTGAGGTTCACATTTGTGTTATGTTCTAGGCGAGGTTAAGGTGCAACAGAACGGGCTGTTTGCTGTATGAACTTCAAATATATGAGACTAGACTGAAGTAGAGCTATGGCAATAGCAATTAATTTTGTTGTGTAATGTGACCAGACATGTTTAAAATGCAACAGAAGCTGAGTCACCTCTTCCATGAGGCGAGCACCAGTGTGAAGCAGCTGTGTGGTGTGATCACAAGACGAGGCTCACAGGAAGAGGCTGTTTGCGATATTTCATCTGTTTTTCCATATTTTAAACAAGGATTCCCTCAGTTCCAGATCTATGTATATACATTTTTCTGAAGCATATTATTCACAACTTTCTAATCAGGTGTGGAAACCATTCCAGAAAGATAGAGAGGGTCCCAGACGGATCCAGAGATCTGCTAACCTGTCTTGCTGTTTGCTTGTGAGAACCTGGCTGATTCTTGGAGCAAACAGGAATCCTTCTGGTAGAGGGACGAGTTACTGCCCCGGTTGCTGAGTCTGTACTGGTGAGACTAGACTGGTTTCAATAACACCGCCTGCGGGAGAAGCATTTTTTTCTTTTAATTTAATATAGTGAGGATCTAGGGGGATTTACCAAGATGAAAGATACAGTGGAGAGAGAAATGGAATGCCAACATCGAAGAGGAAAGGAAAATTAGGGAAAGGGGACATTCCAAGTTTTGAGGGTTTTGTTTTGTTTTGTTCTGGTTCTTTTGAGAAATGATTGTGTAACTTTTGGGGAGGGAATTTTTTATCTTCCTCTTTTTTAGATTTGGAATGCCTCTTTCTGTGAGGTAAGAAGGAGTTACTGTAAATGCATATGTCTATTTCTCTCGTTTTGCTAAGAAAATTGCCATTAAACATGCTGCTGCTGCTCCCTTATTTTGCACCAAGTAAATGTTTAAATATTTTAAAATAAACATGTTTCAGCTGACTGCTGGGTGAGATTCATTACAGCCAGGAGGAACTCAGTGGAACTGTTCAAGGAGATCTGGTTAATATCCCCACGATTTATGCTTGCGGTAGAAATTGCACTAATATTTACACGAAGGGCATGGTTTGGGGGCAATGGCAAAGCTCGATTGAAGTGGGAATTTGCACAGTCAATGCCCACTAATGAAAATAGCTACAGTTCAGTGCTCCTTCCAAAAGCATAATTAGGCCCTCCAAATGACATGTTATTTTCACATTTTTACTCTTAAGCTGCAAACTTTTTTTGCCATCAGAGCCTGCATTAAGACAATTCCTTTGCAAAAATAATTAAGCAAGATAATACTGGGCTACTGAATAACTTCTAAAAAGCTATTTTGGCTTTTCTTTTATAAGTTTTGCCAATGGGAAAAAATCATGATTTTCTGGATGGTTATATTTAAAAAAAACAGTGATCTATGAGTTATCGTTATAGTGTCAGAGTAACATCGCAGAACTGCGTTTCTTGGCACCGTAAACACTTGAATGAGTTCCACGTGGGCGGAGAAGAAACTTCAGACCAAACATTACACTGAAAATACAGTTCTGCTGAAGTCCTTGTGGGTTTCCTTGTTTGAGTGACGAGTGAGCCAGCGGGAAATCTCTGACACTGGGTCTGCCAGGTTTTTGCTTTTTCTTTGTTCTTGCTTTCCAAGTTCAATGGTTCTCTAATTTGTTCAGGAAGCAGAACATCCTGGAAGTCAAGGTGCTCTTTGTGTCGCACGATAAAATATAGATATATTTATTCCAACCCAAAAAAACTGATTTAGTACAAAAACTTATCTATGTATTTATATCTAGATACAGAGATCTATATAGCTATATCAATATTTATGCACTTATTTATTTTTTAAGAATATTCAGTGTTGGTTTGTATATCACACTGCCTTGATCCTATATTTATAAAGAAAACCAGGCTGCTTCCTGGCTTCCAATTAGGGCTATTTTCATCTTTTCCTGTTAGTGTTTGTCTGCTACTTGTTCCCTCACTTTTGTACCCAGCAGATAAGATGTCATAGCTGATGTTTTAAGAAAAATTCATGAGAGAAAAATCTAAGATTTTAAAGATTCTATCCACTTATTTGAGATGTTCCTGAAAAATGGGAAAATTCCAGTATTTGATTTTAGCCCTGGAGAGACTAGTCCAGCTCGTGGTCCAGCAATAATAGATCTGAGCATAGCTGGAGAACCGATCTTCTAATTTTAAGCTGAGAACCCATTACAATATCTAATTGCTGCTTAGAAGATAGAGAGAGGGTATTAATATAGGCCAAGGTTAACTGAAAGGCAGCTATGGACATCTTCCTTTTTTTTTTTTTTTTTCTAATCTTTATTGAGCTTTAACTATGTGCCAGGCACTGACTTAAACGCTCTACATATATTAATATTTTTAACCTTCAAAACTCTAAGAAGCAGGTAACATCATTCATTCATTTATTAATGCATTTATACTAAGTGCCAGGCACTAGTCTATGCCCTGGGGGTAGAACATGAAGAGAACAAAGTCCCTGTTCTGCTACAGGATATAATTCTCATCAGGGGTACAATTCTATCTGTGTTTAAATCTCTGCTCCACCCTTACAAGCTCTGTGACCGTGAGCAGATTATGTAATCTCTCTGTGCCTCAGCTTCTATATCTGTGAAGAGCAGATGATAACAGGTCCTACCTTAGAAGGGTGATATGAAGTGCCGTGATATGATATTAATGAGTTAATGGTTGCAAAGCTCTTAGAATGGTGCCTGGCAGACAGTAAGCATTATGTAAGCGCATGTTCCTCGTTGACATAGGGTGCACCCTTCAGCAAACATGTGACGTATACATGTGGAGGTAACAAATGATATGAAGAAAAATAAAAGTGGGTAAAGGAAATAGAGAAAGACTAGAAACAGTTGTGGGGTGTTCATTTTCTGCAGATGAATGGGAGAGCCTCACAGGGACGATGACATTTGAAAAGGTGCGGGACAGGAGTGCGAGAGCAGATCATGTCTCCATCTAGGGGAGGAGTGATCCAGGTGAGGGGAACAGCGTGTGCAAAGGACAGAGGAGGGAGTGTGCGTGGTGTGTTCAAAGAACAGCAAGAAGCCAAAAGGACCAGGAAAGGGAGTGCGGCCGGACACGAAGAGAGAAGGAGCAGGGATTGTGTCAAGAGGAGCCTTGTAGGCTATCACGAAACTTTCTATTTTGATGAGACTTTACTCTGAATAAAGCTGAAGGTCTCAGAAGAGATCTCCGATAAACTGTACCCTTGTTCCCCACCCAAGTTTTAAATAACTGGCAAAATAAAGCAAGGGATTTTTATGTCTTTCTTTTTCTTTTCCTCTCTAATGCATCCTAAGCAGCAGAATAGTACTTGGCAAAGAGTAGGCTCTCAAAAAATACTTGATGAATGAATGAAGAAAGAAATTCTGTTTTAAGTAAAGATAGAAACCAACACACCAGCTTTATTTTTGATAGAGGTGCAGTTGTTAGATGCTGCTTTAGGTCAGTTAGCAAAGCAGACTTGCTAACAATACTAAACTCCAAGATTAGGCAGAAAGAACCACTGCGTGTCAAGTGATGGCAGCATCAACGGACAGGGGCCAAGGCACCCTGAGGAGGGCTTACCTGATGGCAGAGCAGAGGAGAGCACCTGCTTTCTGCTGGCTGGCTCACTCCTAAGGGGGTGAGGGGCCACACCTGGTTTTCCATCCCACACTTATCAATCCAATAAGTCACTCCATCTTCCCAGGAGCAGAGTGTCTAGAAACAGAGAGAAGCCAGATTGTGCCTTGGTATACACTCTCTCACGGAATCAGGAGAAGGGAAAGAGTATATCCTTCTAATGACTGAGATAGGCACACATTCAGGATCTGCAGCGGGGAAGGAAATTCTCAGATTTTCACTTTTAAAGGATTCCTTCTATTTGCCCCTCAAGATCCACTCTTTAGCCTCCTCGCTGGCTCAGTGCCCCGAGATGAATGGGATTGGGCTATAAGACGAGAGCATCAAAGAGCTTGGGTTGGGTGAGGTCTGGGTATTCCCCTTTCTGGATCTGGTAACCACTTCCTGCGCTCTGAGATACAGCACCATCCCTTTTTGATTTCCCTCAAAGCTGTACTTACCTTTGTAAATTATTCCTTTATTTAAACTGTCTTTAAATTACCCAGTTTGTGTATGCCATCTGTTTCCTGCCCAGATCCTGATACAGAGATATAGCTGCCCTGGCTGTTGTGTGAGGAAAGGATTTGGTGGGGAAGAGGAGGCATGTATAGAAGCCAACTGGTTAGGAGTCGATGGCGATACTCCAGGCGCAAAATGATGGCGCCACTGGCCACAGTGGTAACAATACTCACACTCATAGTGGGAAATGGTCGGAGTTGGGATTTAATTTGAAGGTAGAGCCCATGGGACTTGCTGATGCATTGGCTATGGGCTCCAAGAAAAAAAAGCAGCAAAAAAACCTCCTCGTTTTACAAATCTGTGGAACAGAATGGTGCTCTTTAGAGGCCTGACAGAGAGTAAATTGACTGGGGTTGTTGCAGAGGTGGGAAGATATCCTCCAAGAATTTGCAAGATTGCTTTAGCAAGTTTTTTCCTCTTGGTAGTGTTCATCTCAAAACTGTAATTCCTAGCGCCAGGCCTGTGGCCTTCTCCAGTTTCTCCAATGATCTCCAGACTGTTGCAAATATTTCCACCCAAGGGAATGAATTTTAACCCACTTAAATTAAAAGAGCAAACTTGTATATATACCACCCACCCTTTTTAGGAGAAAGAGGGAAAGGGAATATTTTAAACCAAATTACCAAGGGATGTTACAATTGCAAAACTCTTGGTAACTACTAGCCCACCGAGTAAAACCCTAAGATTCTGAGCATTGACTCTTCTACTGGACGTACTGGCCGTACAAACTTCTGATTACTACTACCCACATATGCTGAGCAAGTATAGTCAGTATTAACCTAATAATACATAGATGCGTGCACATGTATATGTGTGTGTGTATGTACGCGTGTGAGATAAAACAAAAACTGAAAAGACATAAACCAAATTGCTAGGATTATAAGTAACTTTCTATTTTCTCTTTATACTTGTCCACATGCAAAATTTTCCGAACTAGTCAAGTGTTAGTTTTAGAAACAGTTTCTGTTTTGATTTCATCCTTATGCTGGGCCTACCTGACCGTCTATCTAAAATAGGGACACCTGGGGGCCAGCTCCGTGGCTTCACAATTAAGTTCAGTGAGCTCCGCTTTGTGGCTGGGGTTCTGTTCCTGGGTTCCCATACTGAGGCAGTGACCCACATACAAAATGGAGGAAGATTGGCACAGATGTTAGCTCAGGGCCCATCTTCCTCACCAAAAAATAAATAAATAAAATAAAATAGGGACACCTCCACCCCACTCCCCTTTCACACAAACGCGTACACATACGACTTCACTCCTCTTCATAGCATATATCACAGCCTGAAATTCTATTATTTGTTTATGGTTCAATTCCATCAACATGATTTAAGCTTCCTGAAAAAGCAGGGTCTCTGCCTGCCTTGTGCACACTTCCAGTGCCTAGAACAGTGCCTGGTACTCTGGAGGAAGCCCCACAAATGTTTTTTGATTCGTACACACACACACACACACACTTTTATTTTAAAGATATTTGGCAACACAGATTGTCCCGGTCATTCTAAAAAGTCGACACCACTTGTAGGAGTATAAATTGATACAAATTTGCTAAGGAGAAATTTTACCATATATTAAAAAGAAAAAGAAAAACTTAAGAAAAGTCATGACCCTTGATTCAGCAACTCTACTTATAGGGGCTTAAGAAGAGATTCAGACAAATGGTTACTTACAAAAGTATCTTTGTAGCACTCGTATAATAGTGAGAAAAATAAGGAGGCTTGGTTAAATATATTATGAAAAAGCCTTAGGATAATAGATCATTATAGCAATTAAATTGCTGTAGAAAGAGGTGTACATCTATTATTAAATTGTAAAAGTAGGTAATAAAGTAGCATGTTCAGCATAATTCCTTGTACATGGAAAATCTTTGGAACTCCAGAATATTAATCATGGTTATTTCTGGGTTGCGAGATTGTAGATGTCTCAGTTTTCTTGTGCTTATCTACACATTTTAAAATGTCTACAATAAACCCATGAAACAGGGTGCTTTATTTTATTTTCCAATAGTGATAAAAATTATTATAAGCAATCCAAAATGGATTTCCTAAGGACTCGCAACTACAGCACGTCTTAAAGTGCCTTAAAGTCGAAAAAGTAAAATTTGCAAGTGAATTAGAATCACAAAATGGTCTGAATATTTTCTCTAATTCTGTTACCCAACATTTATCTCAAGCAGAGCAACATTTCTCTCTGGGCTTCAAAAGAGATCTGTAGAATCACCACCGTTGGCCGACAGAAATTATTACTACAAATAATAATTAAGTTGACAATAAAAACCCTGGGAGGTATATATAAAGCCACAATTCACCGCCGTCCTCGAGTGGAATCTACAGATGTCGGAGGCATGTGAAAAGGTCCTCTTTCAAAGTCAAATCAAATCAATGGTATTAACCCCACTACAGTACAGGACCCACTGAACTAAACTCTGAGGAAACACAAAACTTGTGACCACTGTCCTTGCTCCCCAGTGACTCTACAGAAGCAGCAGAGCAAATTTGGGTCAGGAGAGCTGTTTGGAGCCAGTAGGAAGGATGGTCTTAGAGGTGAGGAGGGGGGTTGCAGGTGGTACGGGTTACTCCCTTCGTCTGAGCCTGGGGTTGCAAAAACGTCATCTGACAGCTGAATCAGCCCTGCAGGCATTTAAGCACTTAGAGTGCTTAAAAATAAAAGTTTGAAATCTTATTTAGTTGTTTCCAGACATAGCACTTAGCAGCTAGTCTAATTCACAAAGTTAACTTATGGGCTCCTGCAGGTACAGTTTTTGATCCTTGCATCTGAGCGATTTCTGGACCTGACTCGAAATTAGCCAGCATTTGTCAAACTGAAAATACAGAGAACACTGCTTTTTAATGACCAATATGAAAGTGTCCTGCTGCTTGATTTTAATAATGGGAACTTCTGCAATTCTCAGGAAATAGCTACTAGATAGGATTTCCTCCCAGGCCGCTTTCTTAAAGCTTTGTCCTGCTGCTGTTTATCTGCCAGGGATTAAAAAAAAAACAAACAGTAGCAAGCCAGTCTTAAGGAAAAACAACAAACAAAACAAAGTTAGAGTCTATTGCACTGGGAAAATAGGTGTAGATGAGCTTCTGCAGGACCTCGATTGCCAGGATATCGAATTTTGACTTTATCCTGAAGATCATCAGGAGTCCTTGACAGGAGATAGAGTAGAAATTTAAAAGCAGCCTCTAAATTTCAGAAACGGAACCCATTGATAAGAGTCCATTTTAAAGAGGAATCTTCAGGTTTGGGGCATGAGGTCATGCCTGTCACACAATTTCTACCACTCTCCAGAGTAATCATGGGTGATTTGGCACCTCCGGCTAATAGGTGTGTCATATCAGAGACTGCCACAGACACCCGGGGCAATGAGATTCGTCACTTAAAGAAGGAGGCTGCGGGAGAGCGCCCCATCCACCGCTGCTGAGTCATCCCACTCTGTTAGCTATTTAAACAAGCCTCCAGCAGACACACAATCAACACTGCACTCCGACAATGTCCAGACCTCCAGAAATCATGGGTCCAGCCTGGATTGCCCAAGACAAGTACAATCTTCAAAACAGTATCTCTCCTCTTTTCCCCATATTGTCACACTAGGGGTTCTGACCTCTGGCTCTTTTACTAGAAATGAGACTATCCAGCCAGTCCTCCTATGGGACCTTGGCCCCAGAGGTCACCAATTCCTGTTTCAAGTTTTCCCACGGTCTTTCTGACTTGACTCTTGTATTTCTTTCATGCCAGCAAACAGTGGTGGAGCACCTGTTGTGGGTTCGGCACTGAGCTACAGGTAAGAGTTGGTTAAAGGATAAACAAGACACATTCCTTGCCTTTGGCGGCTCACAGTCCAGTGGAAGAGACAGTCACGTAACCAGGCAACCACAATATACGAAGTGATGGTTCTAAGACAGGTAAGTACAAGATGATGTTCTGGACCTTAATTTTTTGGGGGGGCGGGGTACCACTACCCTTCTCAAAAAGCCATCATGCTCTGTGTATGACCATCTAGGAAGAATTGAAGGGACGTAGGAGGCATCAAAGGGATATGGGAGGATGGATGTTTTAGAAGGGCTTTTCAAATCTAACAGTGTATTCACCGTTCCATCTGTCTGCCAGCCGTCACCTTGTTTGACTTGTGCCCTCATGGCCGCTCTGTCTGGCTGTGAGGGCCGTTGGTGGTTCTCTTCGCTGCCCATCCTGTAGGTGCTCTCTTCAGTGTGTCAGATGAGGACTCCTTTCATATTTGGCTGTCATCTATCAGCCACAACTGCCTGTCCAGAAGAGCTGGCTTGGGCTTTAAAGGCTGCTTCCTGGCTGGGCTTCGCCACTCCACTAAGGATGCCATTTGGTCTGACGTGCTGCAGGTGCTGCTGATGAAAGTGCTACAGGAGTTGGTCTGACGTCTTTGGGAAGGACAAGACAGCATGCCCACGGAGTTACCATGTCCCAGTGCTGTTCTTTCCTCCTGATGGAAAGGTATTGTAAATACAGAGAAGGGCACTAGCTTATTTTAAAAATTAAATATGAGCTACGAGCTGTCTTAGGCACCATATAAAAGCTTTATTTAGTTCTCACATTATCCTTAGGTTAGAATCCCGTTTTTATAGTCTGAGTAAATTATGGCTCCAAGAGGTTGGGAGACTTATCCAAAGACAGACAGCCCTATAATTTTTCCTCAAGCTTGAATCTGAACACAGGTCTACGTGACTTTGAATTTTGTGTTCTTTAAATATTGCAATAGCGCAGAGAAGGCACTGTGGAATATTAACTTGGCAATAAGAGTTCTGATTTCAGTCTGATTATGAGTCTTCCAAGAGTGATAGAAACACAGGACATACAGCACGAGTTTCTGAAGCTTTGTTCTGAAACATGAAACCAACAGGAACAAATTGGAGTAGAAGGAAGCAACAAACACATAGTAAAATCTGATTCATCTGATGAAAATAGGGATAAATATGTTCACATTCCCAGAACTTTTAATATTGAAAAATAAAAGACACGCTGGGAAAAAGATGAGGGGAAAATATGCCTGTTTTTATGACTTGTTGATATCTGTGGGGTTTTTCCTTAAGCCTGAAACAATTTACAGCATTGCCAGCAGCATTCAGTACATTCAGAACAGGATCATTTCACCCACAGCTGAACGAGGGCCACGCTTGGGACAGCACCGAGAACAGCTTTCCAGCAGACACGCCGGGGAGTAAGCCAGGGTCAGTGAGTGAAACGGAGAGCAGGGCCATTTAAAGCAACACGGTTTATGTAACCGTGATCTAATTGCTTCCACTGGAAATGGGTCAGATTCTAGTCAAGAGAACCAAGGGCCTTAATGACCCCAGTGAAATTAGACTATGGCTTTACTTCCAACCTCCTCGGAGAACACGGCCCTCTGATGAAACGTTGCTTTGATTCATTTCAATCTGCCATGTTTCCCACTCCCTTCTTGCTTTGTCATTGTTGATTTGCTATTTTTCCTTTCTTTTTTGGTTAAACACGTTAAAGTAAACAGGATATATCATATGACAGACTACGATAAATTTACTATTGGGAATAGGGGACAAGTATGGGATAAAGACATAGGTCTTTTTCGCCTCTCGCAGCTGTGATTCAGTTGTGACTCAAAAGGAAGTGTGCCACCTACTGAATCATGGAAACCACTTCCTGTAGCTCTTTGGTTTATTCTGGAGGGGCATCAGGCCAAGTACTGCCCTGCCCTGACCCTGACTGGCTCTTCCGAGCCAAGGCGTTCACAGCTTGAGGTGGTTTGGCTTCGGACTCTGAGAACATTACATATTAAATTACAAGTGTTTCGTTTCCTAGCAAGGAGTCTTTAGCAACATGAAAACGAACATGTGTTATTTGCAAACCGAGTGTATCATTACTCAACCTGAATATCTTTACTTTTTCATAGGGTATGTATTCCGAATGACCACTCTCAAGATCTGAGTGCACACAGGTTCTGTTTTTCCTGAGGGCAACGTGGGCAGTCTGTAGGGTGGCATTAACCAGATGAGGCTTCAAGAGCACCCTTTCATCAGGGACGCAACAGTAGACTTGTATTCATTCATTCGACATATTTTTGGAGCATGTGCTTATTGCCATGTACTGTGCTGGGTAGGTGCGGAGCATCCAATGACAAACAAGACTGTACGGCTCCTTACTCCACGGGGCTGGTGTTCTCCACTGTACGGAAATTCTGCTCTCCCCTCTCGAGGCACAGGTTGTGCTTTGTACACCATTAAAAGGAACATCAACTAAAGGAAAACTGTTGTTTCCTCTCTACCCACAGAACACTTCTGACACCAGATGTGTGGGGGTTTCTACATCAAGCAATTCTCCAGTTCTCGGTGAACACTGACTGCGTATTCTACAGTTTCACTCCATTCCAAACCCAACTGCCCAGGGTTAACCCCTCAGGTTAAGGGCTCAGTCTCACAGGATTTCCCCAGATTTCAGATGCTAATTATAAGACCCCAATTGTCACCTGTATTTCTGACCAACTGGCTATAAATTGAGCTTTCCCATGACCCCCTCCTCAGGTTTGATAATTTGCTAGAAAGGCACACAGCACTCAGAAAAACACTTTACTTACATTTACTGGTTTATTGTAAAGGATGCAACTCAAGAACAGCCAGATGGAAGTGACACATAGGGCAAGGTTTGGGGGTGGGGGCAGGGATTGGAGCCTCCCTCCCAGCACCTCAGTACGTTTGCTGCTCTGGAAGCTCTCCAGGCTCCATAGTTCAGGGGTTTTATGGAGACTCCACTATGCAGGCATGATTGACTAAACCACTGACCTATAGTGATTAAGCCCATCTCCTGCCCCTCTCCCCTCCCTGGAGGTCAGGGGTGAGTCTGGAAGCTCCAACACTCTAATTACATGCTTGGATCCTCTGGCAACCAGCGTCCATCCTCCAAGAGTTGCCTCATTAGCATAAACTCTAGTATGGTTAAAAGGGGCTTATTATGAATAACAAGAGATGCTCCTGTCACCCCTTTGTTCAAGAAATTCCAAGGGTTTTAGGAGCTCTGTGCCAAGAACCAAGGAGGAAGACCAAAATATATATTTCTTATATCACAACCATGCAGTCTCAGCATCCAGCGCTGGGCCTTGCAAAAAGCAGCCCCTCCATGCCTTTGTGAGTAGACACAGGAAAGCAGAATGAAGGAAAGAGGGGTCAGCAACAAAAAAACAAACAACCCGGTTCAACAGTGGGCAGAGCATCTGAACAGACATCTTCCCAAAGAAGACATACAGATGGCCAACAGGCACCTGAAAAGATCTTCAGCATCACTAATTATTAGGGAAATGTAAATTAAATAAAAAATGAGATCTCACCTTGTGCATGTTGGAATGGCTACTATAAAAAGACAAGAAATAAAAAGTGTTGGAGAGGATGTGAAGAAAAGGGAACTCTCAAACACTGCTGGTGGGAATTCAAACTGGTGCAGCCACTATGGAAAACAATTTGGAGATTTCTCAAAAAATTAAAAACAGAAATACCATAGGATCCAGCTACTCCACTACAGGGTATTTACCCCAAAAACACAAAACGCTAATTCGAAAAGATACATGTACCCCTACCTTCACAGCATTATTCACAATAGCCAAGACTTAGAAACAACCTCAGTGCCCATGAATGGATGAATGGATAAAGAACAGATAAAGGAACGTGTACATATATATACATATATGTGTGTATATATGAACACACACACACACACACAATGGAATATTACTCAGCCATAAAAAGATGAAATCTTGCCATCTGTGACAACACGGATGGACCTTGAATGTATTATGCTAAGTGAAATAAGTCAGACAGAGAAAGAGAAATACTGTATAATTTCACTCATATGTGGAAGATACAACAACAACAACAACAACAAACACATAGACACAGAGAATAGATTGGTAGTTACCAGAGGGAAGGGGGTGAGGGGAGGGTGAAAGGAGTAATGTGATGGATGGCAACAGGCTTTTGGTGGTGAACACAATGTAGTCTATACAGAAGTCAAAATATAATGATATACACTTGAAATTTATATAAAGTTATAAACCAATGTTAATGCAATAAAAAAATAATTAAATAAAACTAAATAAGAAAGAAGGAAAGAAGGGAAAGAAATCACCTGACGGTTATTTTTTGTTGTACTTGCAAGTGAAGATAAAAGCATCCAGTTATTTGTTTTCTTCTGTAACGAAAATTCCAAAAAGACCAACAGTTTCTGCTCTTAAGTAGGGCAGGAGATTCCACAGTGCTGCAGACACATGTGGGCTCTTAACCTGGGCAGTTCTTAAACTAAGGAGGCCCATTCTGAGACGAGTTCCACACCAGAAGTCCTGAGAATCCCCTCTAAGAGTAAAAGGCTCTTTGCTCTCATCCTTATAAAGGGTCAGAATCCCTAACGGTAGAGAATCTATTATTCCTCTCTTGATCCATGCCCAGCAAATGTGACAAAGAAGGGCTGCAATCTGTGTAACATTGAGCAAGTAATTTCCCCACCTCACAGAAGAGTTGTGAGAGTTCAGTGAAACAATGTCTAGAATGGTGATCCACATACAGCAGGCTCCTTGTAAATAGAAGCCATCACTACTACAACTCGTTTTATTGTCATTACCATTACTACTTCTACTGCTATTACTTAGGTTGCACCTGATAAGGTCAGCAGTTTTTCCAGAGTATGACCAATGGCCTATGTTTAATGATGGAAGTCGATGGCTCAGTGTGTCTCAGCCTTTCTAAACCCATGCTCCTCTTCTTTTTGAGGAAGTTTAGCCCTAAGCTAACATCTGCCACCATTCCTTCTCTTTTTGCTGAGGAGGATCTGTGCCCATCTTCCTCTATTTTATATGTGGGATGCCTGCCACAGTAGGGCTTGACAAGTGGTGTGTAGGTCCGCACCCGGGATCCGAACCGGTGAACCCCGGGTCACCGAAGTGGAACATGCGAACTTAACCGCTGTGCCACTAGGCTGGTCCCCGTGCTCTTCTTTTGACAATCATAAAAATCTTAACTTGACCTCCAGTTGAAAATCCCTGCCAAGAAGATATTGTCTAGGTTTCTTACAATGTTTGATTTATGAGAGCAGTATTATTTCCCGAACTTCAGCGCCCCAGATTTGGTTCTCTGGTGTGGACCTATGCCACTCTGCTAGAGGCCATGCTGTGCTAGAGGCCCACATACTAAAAAATACAGGAAGATTGGCATGGATGTTAACTCTGGGCAAATCTTCCTCAGCAAAAAAAATGGAAAAAATTTTAAGAGTTAATTTGAGCAAAAATTGATTCTCACTGGGCAGTGCCAAACTGGAAGTAATCAAGAGCACTCCACTGATAGGAGCTAGAGGAGAGACTTTTATATAGAAGAAGCGGAAGCAAAGCAAGGAAATTATTTGACTGACTATACCTTAGGTGGTTACATTATTTGGGAAAGTCTAGTTGGCTTGGTTGTCCTTAGGCCTCAACTTCTTTACCTTGAGCCATTTACAGGCTTAGGTGTTGGTTTGCTCACATAGACTGCTAAGGTATTAGAGCCACCTCAGCCTAATGGCCTCCTGTTTAATTTAATACTGGTTTGTTTTGAGAATAGCTGTAAGGCTATTCTCTACACATCTGACATGAAAGAAGAGGAAGGAGGAAAAATAGAAGAAGAAAAAGAAAAGGAGGCACCAGCCCCATGGCCAAGTGGTTAAGTTTGCACACTCTGCTTCGATGGCCCAGGGTTTTACTGGTTTGGATCCTAGGCACGGACATGGCACCGCTCATCAAGCCATGCTGAGGCAGCATCCCACATAGCACAACCAGAGGCACTCACAACTAGAATATACCACTATGTACTGGGGGGTTTGAGGGAGAAGAAGAAAAAAACACAGATTGGCAACAGATGTTAGCTCAGGGCCAATCTTTAAAAAAAATTTTTTTAAATAAAAAAAAAAGAAAAGGAGAAGTAGGAAGAGAAACAAAGGGGGAAAAAATCTCCATCAAAAATATTGAAGAGGGGCCAGCCCAGTGGCACAGCGGTTAAGTCCACATGCTCTGCTTTGGGGGCCTGGGGTTCACTTGTTTGGATCCCGGGTGTGGACATATGCATCGCTTATCAAGCCATGCTGTGGCAGGCATCCTACACATAAAATAGAGGAAGATGTTAGCTCAGGGCCAATCTTCCTCAGCAAAAAGAGGAGGATTGGCGGCAGATGTTAGCTCAGGGCTAATCTTACTCAAAAAAAAAAAAAAAATATGTATACACACATAGAAGAGATGGAGGTTTTACTGAAGTTTCCTTAAGTACTACTGAGGCATTTATAACCTACCTCACACCACAAGAACTAATATCTTCTTTAAACCTTTCCCAGTTTCCCTCAGAGTTCCCCTTTCTATAGAAATCCCCAAATCTCCCTTCACATAGGTTCTTCCTTACTTAGAGGACACTTTTCTTCCCCTGTTTACTCCAGATTATCCCAGAGTCTGCTCCTCTGTTTTAAAACGCAATTTAAACTCCTCTCAGCTCCCCGAGTTCTCCTCACCTCTCACAAGATTCGGCTCAACAAAGGACAGGAAGTTAGACCCTAACTGAAGGTTTCAGGAGTGAGGCCTTATAATAGCTGCTTAGTCAAGAATGGTGACAGCAATGACAGCAAGCAAATAAATTAGTTCACAAAAGAGTCTCAGAAGCCCCACAATATTTTAAACCCTTATCTCCTTGTACAGTGTGTTACTGTTTCTGTTTTGTTCCCTGATATACCCCAACTGCCTATAAGAGTACCTGGCAAGAATATTTATTGAATAAATAAATTAGTGTGAGAGTTAACGTTTCAAGCAAAACAAAATACCATTAGATTATCTTTTCTACTTTTTCTCTTAAATATTCTGTGTGAAACAGTCTCACAAACATACATAGGAAAGGATATAATTTTCTGTCATTAATTTCTTATTATGTCACTTTAGGTCAAATGTCACAGAAATTATACTGAACTCTTGACCAATCTATCTATTTTTTCCATTGGAATATTGGTCCAACTAAGAAATAACATCAAGGAAAAATTTTTTGGCAGAAAAATGTCCCCTCCAAATTCTTGTATGTTTTGTTTTGATTTTTCCTTAGTGACTGGAGGTCAGTTTCAATCCAGTGAGGCACAGATTCCAAATTTTCAATCTGGTTTTCTTGAGTACTGACTGTGTGCCAAGAATGAAGCAGTGACACAGCCTCACTACCAAGACATACACACACACACACACACACACACACACACACACACCAGAGT